GGCCTGCACCCTCTCCAATCCGGGACCCCTTGGGGGATGTCCAACTGCCGGTTTAGGCCTGATCCCTGTGCCTAAACTGGCAGTCAGACATCCCTCTAGCAATCTGGAACCACTGGCTCCTAACCGCTCACCTGCCTGCCTGCCTGCCTGATCGCCCCTAACCTCTCTGCCTGCCTGCCTGCCTGATCGCCCCTAACCTCTCTGCCTGACTGCCTGATCGCCCGTAACTGCTCTCCCCTGCTGGCCTGATCGCCCCTAACCACCTCTGCCTTGGCCCCCACCACTGTGGGTTTGTCTGGAAGGATGTCCAGTCTAATTAGTATATTATCCTTTTATTAGTATAGATGATACTAAGCACAAGTCATCAAAGTTTTTGGAATAGGTATGCTTCATAAGACAGAACTCTGTATTGTATTATGTTTTTTGTAACTTTAGCACCAGATATACAGCAAGGGCTTAATGTGTGTGTGGAACGAATAAAATATAGCCCAACTTCTTGAACAGCTGGGACCTGGGAGCTTAACTAAGCTAGCATTGAGACCTTAACTGTAAAAGAAGAATCTAAAGTAAGTCCTCACTTAACATTGTTCATTGGTTTTGTAACTTGAAGTAAAATGCCATATAAGTAAACCAATTTTATCATAGGCTAATTGATATCCACCAGAGTTAAATTTCTAAGACATCTCATCAATGTTATTTGAGGAACTGCTGTACGTTATTGTCCAGTGGATCCGATAGGATATATAGTAAAACCATACAAATAGCACCCCATCATTCTCTAATTCACATCTGCAAGTGAAAGGCGATGGGAAGATGCCTTCTGAATACAAATAATTTCTTCATTTTCCCTATTAATAACTACATTCCTACCTGTAGAAGATACCTCTTGTTTCTGCCCATGCCGTATCTCTTCTCTCTTCTTTTGTGACAACAACTCTATTTTCTTTGGGGACTCACCATCTACCTTTACATCAAGTCTCAATGGGAACATCTTTCAACACTCTTCACCCTCCTCTGGCCTAGGGGTGGTCATGAAACTAAAGAGATCTGGGCAATTCAACTCTGCGAGCAGCAAAGCCAAAGGAGACCCTGGTTAAGGCAGATTCATTCCAGGGCAGACCCTGACAGGACTTGAGCTGCCCTTGTTGGGTCCTTTCAGAGGCCTAGGTGTTCATCTGCCCTATTTTAGAGAAATGCCTTCCTTCCTTAAGTTAGCCAAAGTCGGTTTCACTGCTTGCAAACAATTAACCTCAACTAAAAAGCCTTTGCCTTTTTGAAGTCATTGAAGTGTCTGGGCCTATACATGGCAGATCATTTTTAGCTTTTTACTGAATGGTAGAATTCATATCCACAAAATACCAAAGCAGGCAACTTGCTCAGATTGAAAGTGACCTAGCTATGTAATTGTTGATGAAACAGATTTCTGGGATTGTACTCATTCGAAAGCTAAAAGCTACACAGATCCAAGAACCCTGGGGTAGCTTAGCATCAGCCAAGAAGCATTTACTGCACGCATTTTTCTAAGTCTCTCAATTTACTTAGATATTCATTTTATTTCCATACATTGTCAGTTCATGCATCCCACCCTTAGAAATATACAATCAAATTGTCTTTAAATATATGAGTCTTAAATCTACTTCCAGGTAGAAAAGGAGGAATTTTCAGTCTTATTAGAAATTGTTCAGTCTTTATTTAGTCAAGATAATTTAACTATGGTTGCTATTTACCAAAGAACCTAAGCTCTCTTACCATGGACCTGGTGGACCTCATTCAGTGGTAAGATCACAGTAATGTTTCTATTAATCTATTAATCCAAATTAGTGCTTTAATGTAACTCTCAACCTTGTATTTTCCAAGGTCACTAATTTTATTTTGTGCCCATAGGGTAACTCAGTTAATTCTAAGCACAAATATCTTTCCCCTGAAAATATTGTAATATCCTTAAGAAAAGATCTTTTGCAATTACGCTATCACTCCGTACACTGTAAAAGAGGGCACTGGGGTGTTTTGTTTTGTTTTTTAGTAATCTGGTTTGGATCCGTCTAAGAAAGGAGACTCAACAATCCTTTCATTCCTACCAAGCCTGCCTAAATTCAAAACAGCCCATTGTTTTTCTCCAAGGTTTCCTGGTGATGATGGCCACAGGTCTGATTGTTGTAGCCGCTCAGGGTCGGTTTCACAGCCCTTCAGAGCCAAGACAAGGAACCCCCAAGGAGGGGAAATTCGCCACATGCGCCCCAGGGGGATGAGCAGAGCCCAGCGGCTGGGTGCCCAGGAGCGCAAGGAGCCAGGGCGGTCAGGCCAGGCGCGCGCAGGGGAAGCTCTCAGTTCTCGGAGCAGATGCGCCAGCACGTGGGCTGGGCACCCCCCTAGGAACAGGCACCCGCGCAGCCATCGCCCAGCAGTACACCCGGGCGAGGACCCTGGGAAATAAGCCGGCGTGTCGTGGACCCCATCCCGCCGTGGTGCCTCCTCTTACAACCCCGCGCACCCGGCCAGCCCCGCGCAGGAAGCACCGCCTCATGCCGCTGCGGGTGAGGGTGGCTTCCCCGCGCAGTCTCCGCCCAGCGCATTCGGGACCAGCCGAATTCCCACTTTTGCGCGCTCACATTCTCCAGCCTGGCCCCCACCGCGATTTCTGGACCAAAGCCACAGCCAGCTTGACCTCTCCACCGGTTCCCAGGGACCTCATTCATCCGGTTGTATTTAGACATTAGTCTCAATGTCTCGTTTTCTAATTAATCATCAAAATTTCAAAATAATAGAGCTTTACATTGCAACCAAATAACAAATGTTTTAAGGCTTATTTTACTTGAATGAAATGTCTTCTTTATTGGGGGAAATTACCCAACAATTGCTATAGGATTAACTCAAACTATTATAAATATCTTCGTTAAGCTATTTACAAGTTTTTGTCGTTTTTTTTTAAAAAAATATATTCTTACTGATTTCAGAGAGGAAGAGAGAGGCAGAAACATCAATGATGGGAGAATCATGGATCTGCTGCTTCCTGCAGGTCCCTACTGGGGATGGAGCCCGCACCAGGACTTGAACGTGACCTTCTGGTTCATAGATTCACCCTCAACCACTGAGCCATGGCGGCAGGGCCTATTTACATGTTTTAATGACTTTCCATTCTCGCACTCATCAGTAATGTACATTTCACTAATGTCTAATTGGATTCGGGAATAATGGCAAGCAGTAGCTTTTCACCTCACAGTACATGCATTTTTCTTCACCCCTTGCAGCGAAGTAGGGCCTTGCAATGACTTTTAGAAAATGGAAAAAGAGAAAAGTGTGTGTCTCTTTCTGGTGTTGGCCTTCAATGCTCAGCGTGGCCCTTCAGTGCTCCCTCTTTCTCTAGCTGTACTGACCCAGTGCTGTGACAACACATGACTGAGGGAGTTAGATCCCTGGGTGGGTAATGGAGCAGCGCCTGCTGGCCTACACTGCACTTTATAACACTAAGCACCTGAGATCACCACAGCATAGCAGGGCTACACTGATCAGTGCAATGGTCCCTTATACCTCAATGAAAGCTCTGCTGAGCATCTTTTTTTTCTTTATTAATTAAGGTACTACATATGTGTCCTTATCCCCCCATTGTTCCCCGATCCCCCCCCCCCCAACTTATGCCCTCACCCCCCTGTTGTCTGTGTCCATTGGTTAGGCTTATATGCATGCATACAAGTCCTTTGGTTGATCTCCCCCCTTACCCCCCCCATCCCCTCCCTTCCCTCTGATGTTTAATGGTCTGATCAATGCTTCTTTCTGCTGAGCATCTTTTCAAGTTATGGAGACAAATAGTCAGAGATATGCAAACTAAAACTTTATTTCCAAACATTATTAACAATACACATACAGGCATATAAACAGAAGTGTGTTCTAAAAGGTTGTAAATTTCACATAATGTAAAAAAAAAATGAGTACGTTACCTTTGGAGGACATACTGAGATTGTCAAAGGTATGTTTACAGCCTTGGCCAGGTGGCTCAGTTTGTTGGAATGTGGTCTTCTCCACCAAAAAGGCTGCAGATTCCATTCCCACTCAGGGCAAATAAGTTTTAGGTTTAGCCCCCCTTCAGGGCACATAAAGGAAACAACTGATTGATGCTTCTCTCTCACATAGAGGTTTCTCTCTCTCTTCCTTTCTGTGTCTCTATATCAATAAACATATCAGTTGAGGATTTAATTTATTTTATAAATATTTTTAAATATAATTTTTATTGGTTTTAGAGAGGAAGGGAGAGTGAGATAGAAACATCAATAATGAAAATCATTGATCTGCTGCCTCCTACACATCCCCTACTGGGGATTGAGCCTGCAACTCCAGGCATGTACCCTTGACTGGAATTGAACCCAGGACCTTTCAGTCTACAGGCCAATGCTCTATCCACTGAACCAAACAGGCTAGGTCTCAAGTGAGGATTTTAAACAAAATGTATTTACAGTTGATAATACACAAAAGTTTATTCTTATATTATTTGTTATTTATTACAGTACATATTTGTATCACTACTGTCAACCTGCTTTTGCTCAGCCCTGTACATGAACATTTTATAAAACATGAGACAACAGCAAGACAATTAGGATTCCAAAAAATTATATGAAAAATAATAACAAGCAAAATGAGTTTCTCTTTAAAAATATATAGTCAGTGGATCTTAGAATAGGAACCAAAATGATTGAGAGCACAGGGAAAAGGGACTAGCTTGTGGTGTTCGTGTTGGTTACTGGGTGCTATCGGTGGGAGCCTGCTGACACTGATGGAAACTTGCTTGTTTGGAACTTCCCCCCTGCACCCAAGGATGGAGCACCTGGACTTTCTCATTAGCTTTCCCAGGTGTAAGGTCAGGGAGGAGAGAAGGGTGAGTCCTTGAAGTTTTCAACATTCAAACATCAAAACCAGAATCAGGATCTTTATTATAAGTATTTTTTTTTCAATAACAAGGGAAGGAAAAAAGCACATACAAAAATCCATCCGAATTGTTATCACTTGCCTCAGACGATATAGATTATAAGGGATGCTGAAGAAGATGCAATGGAAAAATAAGGCATAAGTTTTTCTGTAAATGTATCAGTGATTCCATGCAAGTATGACCTGTTATTCAAATTATAAAATGAAACCTCTCCCAACTCATAGTCCAGGAAAATGCCAATCTTCGGTTGTTCTATGGGAGAAGAGTCACTTGTAGGAATCCAGAACGAAAATTGCCAGCATCCATTTCTTGCTGATGGCGGTATGTCAGTATTTCTGGGGAAAGATTCCTTACATACACCTAAAAAACACTCACCTGTGCCTGTTACTTCTACCGCCCAAAAATGCCTGCCAGCATCAAATCCCTCAGAACTCAGGACAGCTGGGTAAGAAGTAAGATCCTGGGGATTAGGAAAACCATTTGGTGTCCTGTATGTCACACTTCTTTTATCTCTTGACATAATGAAGTTTGGATGGGCAGTTTCAGGATCCAGTGTCAAACATGCCTGAAACATTCGGAACATTTTATGCAGGCCCAAGTAATGTGGGGGGAGATTGTAAGTCTCCGTCCTTAAATCACATGAAAGCACTGCTGGGGTCTCTTGGTTTCCATACCCGTTGTGAATGCTTTCAATACCTGTGAGTAAACCCTCATCTGTCTGCAAACACTTCTCTTCTATTTTACTTAACAGACTGCTTAACCTGAACCTATGGTATGAAATTTGCCTTCCGTTTTCAATTAGTTTTTCTTCAACATCCTTCTCTTCTATAAGTAGATTGTTATCAATTTCATTTTGCTGGATTGCTAAGAAACACTTAATTTCTTTACATTCATTGTCCAACTCCTCCCTCCATTTTTCTATCTTTCTCTTCACTTCCCAAGTATTTTCAACTTCGTTTTTATATAACATTTCTACATTTTCAAGATGACTAGCCTTGGCCTCAATGTTCCTTTTGAGCATGCCCCTGTGACTAGCTGCTGCTTCCTCAATGGGGATCAGGGGCTGATCCTGGTGGTCGGATGACACCCTGCACTGGGCACACAGCAGCTCCAGGTCCTTTTCACAAAACAGGGTCAGAACCTCACGGTGCTTCTTACACAGGGGTTCCTCTTGCCTTTTCCTCTTTCCCCTCATGCTGGGAATCTGCTTAACAGTCTCAGTCATGTGATATAGTTGGATATTCTTCATCAAGCTCCTGTCACGGCAGTGGTGGAGGCAGACAGGGCAGGGAAAGGTGTCCTGTAGACCTTCCCAGCGCTGGTGGATGCAGGAGGAACAGAAGTTGTGCCCACACTCAGTGGTCACTGGGTCTCTCAGGTAATCCAGGCAGATGGGACAGCTGGCCTCTGCTTGGAGCTTGGCCAGGGAAGCTGCAAAGGCCATGGTGCAGTGAAGGTGTCTATCAGAAGAGACTCCCTTCAGTCAGTGTGATCCTCCAGGAGCAAGGAGAAGTGAGAAGCTGAGGTTGGCTCAGGTCTACCTGTCTGTGGAAGTCACTAAGAGCTTCCGAGCAGAGTTCCAGTGGGCAGCTGACGTCCGTCTTCTGTCACCTACTCCTTCTGTATTTAATGTCGCATCGCCAAATGAAAATCAGCTGTGGATTCTGGTCAAAAACCCAGCACCATCCAAGTCATAAGTGATTTCTGTAGATTAAAAGATATCACCATTTAAAAGTTCAACCAGCATTAACCCTTCCCTCCCTGTATGAACAATATGTCAGGTAGTCCAAATCATTTATTATGACAATACTTAAGGAGTTAGAAGTAAAGTCTATTTTGCAACTTAAAAGGAATTAATCAATTCAGGCAAATTGATCATAGGCCTCAATCTGAGAAGGCAGGAGAGGGGGGAAAGAGATCAACCAGTGAACTCATATGTATATATACATAACCCATAGACACTGACAGTGAGTGTCAAAGGCTTGAAGGGGAGAAGGGTGGAAAGGGCAATGGGGAAAAAAGGTGACATATGTAATACTTTCAACAATAATGATTTATTTTTTAAAAAAGGAATCATGTGCTGTGGGGAAGACAGAAGGATTTGTACATCCAGGAGCAAGGTTCTGCCTACCTACGGCTGCTTCTGTGTGGAGACCTCAGGTAAAGCACCATCACCATGTCTGACCAGGAGGTAAAACCAACAACTGAAGATTTGGGGAATAAGAAGGAAGGAGAATACAAAGTCATTGAACAGGGCAGCAGTGAGTTTCACTTCAAAGTGAAAATGACAACACATCTCAAGAAACCCAAAGAATCATGCTAAGATGGGGAGTTCCATGAACTGGCTCAGGTTTCTCTTGGCGGGTCAGAGAATTGCTGATAATCACAATCCAAGAGAACTGGAAATGGAGAAGGAAGATGTGAGTGAAGTTTATCAGGAACAACAGAGGGTCATTCAATGATTTAGATATTCTTTTTCTTCTCTCCCCTCAATCCTTTCTTATTTTTAAAAATAGTTCTTTTTTAATGTGGCCTTCACAATGGAATTGAAATGTAATCACACATCCCCCCATCTCTTTAAAACCTGTGGTAATTTGAATTCTAGTGCCCATTATTCATTATTGTTGGTTTTCACTGTGCTAAGTTTTGGTGATCAAGCCTCAACCTCCTTCATATCGCCCTCTCCTTTTGAAATATTATGTGTGTGCACAGGGAGGCCACCCCTTTCGGGACTGTGCATTTTGAGGCTTGTGATAAATGAGGTGGACCAATGCAAGTGTTCATAATACTTCTAATTGGCCCGGAAGTTCTAGCATGTAATTGCTTCACTCCTGGACTATGACTTTCAGTGGGAGGTGGGAGTTTTTCAGTGAACTGAACTGTGGAATTATGACCTTTCATCAGCTTGAAGCTACTTTTAAATCTGAAGGTCTGGACCAAAAGAAGAGGAATATCAGGTTGGAGTCAAGATGACAATAAGGTGAGAGTAAAGACTAACACCAAAGATGGCTTCACTAAAGAGAAAGTATTTTTTTTTAAAGAACAGATTTTAAAAAATATTTTTATATTTTTATTGATTTCAGAGAGGAAGGAAGAGGGAGAGAGAGATAGAAAGATCCATGATGAGAGAGAATCATGGATTGGCTGCCTCCTGCAAGTTCCCCAATGGGGATCGAGCCCACAACCTGGGCATGTGTCCTTGACTGGAATCGAACTGGGACCTTTTGGTTCGCAGGCTGATGCTCTATGCACTGAGCCAAACTGGCCAGGGCAGAGAAAGCATTTTTTTTTAAAATATATCTTATTGATTTTTTACAGAGAGGAAGGGAGAGGAATACAGAGTTTAAAACATTGGATAAGAGAGAAACATCAATCAGCTGCCTCCTGCACACCCCCTACCGGGGATGTGCCCACGACCAAGGTACATGCCCTTGACCGGAATCGAACCTGGGACCTTTCAGTCTGCAGGCCGATACTCTATCCACTGAGCCAAACCAGTTAGGGCAGAGAAAGCATTTTAAGAGTAAAGAAAAATCTTGTCAGAGATCCCAGAAGAGTTTTAATTTTCATTAGCATTTCATAAATGTACTCATGCAAAAGTTTGTGCAACAGAACACTGCTCTTTTTTATTTTATTTGTATTTTGTGTCCTGGGATATGGGTTTTAAATGGATATTGATTGTACCAGCTTTATTAAAGTAAGCAAAATATTTTTGGGGAAAAACAGTGATCTTGGCCAGGTAGCTCAGTTGGTTGGAGCGTGGTACAGATGTGTCAGGGTTTCAAGTTCAGCTCCTGGCCAGGGCCCATGTAATAATCAAACAATTAATGCAAAAACAAGTGGCACAAATAGATCTCTCTCTCTCTCTCAATGCCCCCCCCCCTTCCTCTCAATCTAAAAACCCATTACTAAATGGAAAAAAATATATTTTTTATAAAAGAGTGGCCAGTTTTGCTCAGTTGGTTGCAGTGTTGTCCCACGTACCACAAGGTCACGGGTTCCATCTGCAGTTGGGTCATACAGAGAGGCTACTAATCAAGGCATCTCTCTCACATGGATGTTTCTCTCGCATTTTCTCTTTCCCCCTTTCTCTAAAAAAAATAATAATAACAAAAAGATATCACATAACTGTTAGAGGGAGTATACCATTATTTGTGAAGAAGTTTTGCCAGATAAATGAACCTAAATCTCATCATCGTTCCAAACTATCTAGTTACAGGAAATATAAGTGATAGAGAAAGGTCAGAAGAATAATCTGGTCAATTTAACCTGTCACCTTGGTTGGACCACTGCATAGCCGGTAGCAGGTGAAACACTAGTTCTGGGTGTGACTATGAGGAGATTTGTATTTGAATTGGATGAGCAAAGCAGATGGTCCTCCCATTGTCAGTGGACATTATCCAATCCACTGAGGGCCCGAAGAGAACAAAAACTGGGGAAGGCTGACTTCACTCTCTGCTGGACTCAATAAGCTAGCACACCCACCCCCTGTCCTGGATGCTCTGGGTTCTCAGTCCTTCAGACCCATCTGTTCTCAGACTCTCAGGCCTTCAACGACACCACTGTCTCTCCTGGGTCTCCTGCTTGCAGACTGCAGACCATGGGACATCTCAGGCTCTGTAACCTTGTGAGTCACCTCTTTTTAAAAAATGTCTTTCTAAATACATACTATTTGGTTCTGTTTCTCTGGTAAACCTTTAATAATACATGGAGTAAGTAATCAGTAAAATCCTGACTGTAACAAGCTCTACTGAAAATTCGATCTTGTTGCTTCAACACAAATATAAACAGGAAGTAAAAACACATGGAAGTGGGTTATAGGAGTTAAAATAGACTTACAAGATATACACATCAGTTATTACTAGCATGTATAAATCTAATTTCATTTCATTTTCAAAAATATTTGATCAAAATTTAGTTGGATATTTGAAGATTAAAAAACTGATTGATAATTATGTTACATTGATGTAATTACTGACATTAGAGGTATGTACATTGCCTTGGCCTGCTTTTTCAGTTAGTCCCAATATGCCGAGGTTTCAAGTTAAATCCCAGATCAGAGGACATAGAAGGAGCAACCAATGAATGAATGACTGAATGGAACCACAAATCAATGTCTCTTTCTCATTTCCAATCTCTCTCTCTCTCTCTCATCTTGCCCCATCCTTTCACTCTGTAAAACAAATAAATTAAAACAAGAACATGCCCTAACTGGTTTGGCTCAGTGGATAGAGCCTTGGCTTGCAGACTGAACGGTCCCAGGTTCGATTCCGGTCAAGGGCATGTACCTTGGCTGCAGGCACATCCCCAGTAGGGGGTGTGCAGGAGGCAGCTGATCGATGTTTCTCTCTCATCAATATTTCTAACTCTCTCTCCCTCGCCCTTCCTCTTTGTAAAAAATCAATAAAATATATTTTTAAAAAAACAAGAACACAAGTATGTAAATTAAGAGTTTCTTTTAGAAATGTACAATGAAAAGCTTAGAATTAAAATCTTAGAGATTTCCTACACAGAAATGGCAAAGTTTTGATACGAGTAGAAGTTGTAAAAAGGTTAGATATAGAATATGGGTTCTTTCTAAAAAAAATATATTTCATTGATTTTTTACAGAGAAGAAGGGAGAGGGATTGAGAGTTAGACACGTTGATCAGCTGCCTCCTGCACACCCCCTACTGGGGATGTGCCTGCAGCCAAGGTACATGCCCTTGACCAGAATCGAACCTGGGACCCTTCAGTCCGCAGGCTAATGCTCTATCCACTGAGCCAAACCAATTAGGGCTAGAGTATAGGTTCTTCATACATGAGTTCATAAAATTTTCCCTCCTATTCTGGATACCTAGAATATTCTATAATTTACTTTTTTTTTAATATACCACTTTAATTCTATTTCAGTGTTACTCTGCTCTCTTTAGCCAAGAAGGTTTCTCCTACTCCTTTCCTTAAGCTTCATCCATTTTCCTTCATCTCAGATCCATTTCATCTCCTTTCTTTCTCACAGTTGTTTCAAACTGGTCCCCTTTCTCCACTCCAAATCCATCATCTTCTTCCCTGTTTCCATATCCCATCCCCCTATACAAATCTCAATATTGAGATAAATTGAGATTAGAGAAAGACCAAGGCTGGCATTAAAGTTCCATCTGCTTGTAGGTTATATGGGCTGGATTTCAGGTCTGATCTGAGTCTGCCTGTCATTGGGGATGGGTTTTTGATCATCTGTTCCTCCAGAGACAGATGCAACCAGGAAAATAGCACTCAGCTTCCCTTTCAGTTTGGTGTCAGCATACACCTCAATTTAGGTAAACCTCTTGGGACCCGTTTTTTATTTTTCAGATATTTAAATATTTTTTTATTGATTTCAGCGAGGAAGAAAGAGGGAGAGAGAGATAGACACAGCGGTGAGAGAGAAAGAGAATCATTGATTGGTTGCCTCCTCCATGCCCCACA